ATTTTTTACCTAGCACTATATAATACATGTTAGTGCCTATACTAAAAATAGATTTCTTAAAACTAGAATAGAAAAGCAGGGCTATTTCCTAAAAAGGAAATAAAAGAATTAATAAATTAAGAAAAAAAAGCTTTACCTAAACCTTATTTTACTTTATTTTTATATAGCTTATATAAGCCTATATAATTACTAATACTTTTTTACTACACTATAAAGGTCTTAACACTTGTATAGAAACCTTGTATTTTTTTTTTGAACTCTGCTTAGTAAACACTAGATTTATATTTACTTATACTCTAGTATTAATTAAAAAAAGTCTATTACCTTAGTTAAGTATAGCTAAGTATATAATAAGTATATATTAATAATATTTTTAGTCTTTTATATATTAATATACTAGTATTTATTTTAGTACTAATAGTGTTTATTAAGAATAAAGTTAGTATATACTAAATATATATCTAGATAAAACTAAAAATATATAAGTATAACTAGTATTATAAAGCTTCTAGATATCTATATATAATAAGTTAGTGCCTTATATATATATTATATAAGTAAAGAACAAAGGTTATACTAAAGGGGACCTAGCTATAGTTTAGGTTAAAAATAAGTCCTATATTAGATTAGTATATACCCTATTATAACTTAATAAGGATTATATATATACTTACTATAGTAGTAACTAAAGTTACTAAGGTTATTAGTATTAAAGATACTAAGGTTTATATAGTTAGTAAATATCTAGAATATTATTAGTATATACTAAAAATATAATAAAAATAAATTAAAAAAATACTTTACTATTACTATTACTATTATTATTACTATTACTATTACTACTACTACACTAGTTAGTAATAGTTTAAAGAAAAAAAGAAAAAAAAAAGAGAAATTTACTAAGCTTTAGCTTAGTATATACTAAGAGTAAGTTAACACTAGGCCTAGAGTAGATATATAAACAAAGTTATATAATAAGCACTAGCGCTTAAGTGAAAATTTTTTACTATACGTATAGTATAACTGCCTTCTATTTTTGTATATATTAACTTTGCATAACCCTGTAGGTCTTTACTATTACCCCCCCCCTAACTTTTTAGCCCTACAACAGATACCCCCCCCTGAAGCTGGAATACCCCCCTATAAACTATTCTCCTATGGTTAAATAGGTAATAGATTTAATAACTAACTAAGCTAGAGCTATAGCTGGTAATGGCTGGTCTTATAGACTGGCGACAGGTGGGGCCTAGTGGGGCACTAGCTGTCGGCAGGATATTGGCCTGACTGATGGATCTACTGGCAAGGCCGAGAAGTGGATCCGAAGGTTAGCTGCATACGGAGGAGCCCGTCAATAGTATTGTCCTAGAATGCCAAGACTGCCCCATAGGTTTGAGCCCACTTGGACCAGAATCTGGCCAATTAAACTTGCTGGATTAACCATCTTCCTTTTCCGAACTAGGACCCTAGTAAGTCGACCGGGCTACCACTGTAAAGGCCTGGTAACAGGGCTGGCAATAGGGCTCTTGGTGGTGTAAAATGCTGGCTACAATTGCTTTTGGTGTGCGCCCCTGCAATTATCCTTGCCACTTGACATAGGGTGGTCTTGGCATTCTAGGACAATACTATTGACGGGCTCCTCCGTATTGTCCTGTGACATACTTAGTCTTAGTAAAAATAATAAGCTTTTATATTATAAAGACTTTATAATATATAAAAAAAAGAAAAGCCTTATTAGCTAGTATATTAATATAAGCCTAGTCTTTATTACTAAGCTAAGCTATTACTTATATTAGTAGCTAATAGGCTTTATTATTTAACTTACTACTATTACTATAAATAGTATCTTTAAGTTACTTTTACTTAGCCTTAAGTATAATATTAAAGTTAATATAGTAAATATAAAGCTATTACTAAATACTTAAGAACTATTTATTTAGTATAGTCTTTATTTACTTATTATAATCTATAATTATAATTATAAAATAATAGACTAAGTATTAGTTTATAAGTTAGTAATTACTAGCTAAAGAAAACTAAAAACTCTTTATATTAGTTTAATAAGTAAGTACTAATAATAATAAAGCCTTTTAGCTAGTTAAAGTAATAAATCTTTAATTAATTATCTACTATTACCTAAAGAGTAAAAGAAATCTAGAAGAGGAGTTTTAGCTAGATAAGTAATATATATAAGGGCTCTAACTAGTGTCCTAGTTATTCTAGTTCTAGATATCTTAGTAAGATATTAATAATACTAGTTATTATAACACTTTAGTCTTTTATTATTAATAAAGCTAAATATATTATTATAAATAAATCTAAGGTAAGTTTACTTAGTAGCCTAAAAAAGTAAAAGTTTAAAGTAATTAGTATTATAAGTATTATTAAAACTAATTACTTTAGAGAATTACTTTTATATTTAAAGATAATAAAAAAATATCTAGATAAGACTAATAAAGTAGTTTAGCTTATTATTTACTTACTTTACTATATATAAGATACTTTACTTATTAAATAGCTTTATTAAAGTAGTAGTTAGTAAATACTTACTAAGCTTCTCTTAGTTTATATAAGCCTTAGTGTTATAGATATCTTATTAAGTAAATAAGGTATTTAAGAACTACTATTAAATAATAGTATATATATCTTATACCTAGATACTAACTTTTTAGCTTATTATATAAATAAAGTTTATTATAAGCTAAGTAAGCTTATAATAAAAAGGATATATAAAGGCTTTAAGGCTAAGGCTATAGTTATACTAACTATACTAGGTTACTAAATAATAATATAATAGTTACTTACTTTTCTCTTAGGTCTTTATAGTAATTTACTATTAATAACTATATTTTTAAAATATATACTATTAAATACTATTATCTTTTAGTAGTCTAAGGCTTTTAAATTAGTTATATTAAAAGGTATAGTATATAATTTAGCTATAAGCTTTATACTAGTTCCTCTTTATAATACTAAATCTATTAGCTTTTATAAAGGTATTAAGTTAATTAAAGAAAGTATTAAAGGTTTATTTTAGATTACTAAGTATTAGTAGGTTTAGGATAATAAATATAAAAAAAAAGATTAGTTATATAAGGTATAGTAAAAGGCTATAGTTTAAAAAGATATTTTACTTTAAGAGAAAAAATATTATTAAGGTAGTAAATAAAGTAGTAAATTAGCTTAAGGACTTTATTATTCTTATTATTAATAAATATACTTTTATTATTAAAAAAAGTACTATTATTAGCTATTAATTAGTCTTAATAATTTATTAAATAAGGTTAAAAGTACTATTAAACTACTATATAGTAAAATAAAAAGTTTACTAAGACTACTTATAAAAGAAAAGTTATACTTTAAAGAAAGTTAAAAAAAATAGTCTACTAAGTTTTTATTATTCCCTTAAGGAAATAATAAATAAAGTAAAGTATTAGCTTTATATTAAGGTAATATAGTTTATAGTATAAAAAAGGTTATATATCTTATAGTAAGCTTAATAAAAGCTTAGCTATAAGGTTATATTAACCCTTAGGATTACTAGCTTTATAGAACTAGCTAACACTAAGATAACTACTTTTAGAGAAGAAAAATAATAGTAGGTAGCTAGATAATAGTAGTAGGTTATAATTAAGTACTAGTTACTTTATTAAGATATAACCTATAGTAAGAGGGTAAGTAGGTTATATTTTATACTATAGTATATGTTATAAAAGTATAGTAAGTAAATAGTAAAAATAAAACTAAGGTTAAATAAATTAAGCTTACTATAAGGAGGGTTAAGAAAAAGAGAGCTACCTCTTATAGGTCTAGTAGAATTTAACTATACTAATAATAGTTTTTTTAAGTAATTAAATATAATAGACAGTAATACCTTTATAAAAGTAATACCCCTATATTAATTTATAATACCCCCTTATTAACTTCTTACTATAATAGCTAGCCTCTAAAAAGAGAAATAATAAAAGGTTACTAAATAATAGTAGTAGTTCTTAGTAATTAGTTACTTATAGGTCTTAAAAGATATAGCCTATACTAGAAAAGTAAATAAGTTAAGTTTTATATAATAAGATACCTTATAAAGCTATAGTAAGTAAATAATATAAATAAAACTAAGTTTAAATTAATTAAGTAGTAAAAAAGATAAAAAAGAGAGGTTACCTTATATAGGTCTAGTAGAATTTAGTTACACTAATAATAATTTCTTAGAGTAATAAGAGGTATATATAGGGGTACCTATATAAGAGGTATACCTATGTATTAATTTAGGGGTACCTATATATTAATTCCTAATAAGTAGGTATCTAGAAAGACACTTCTAAAGTAAAAAGTCTACTAGCTAAAGGACTAGTTAAATAATATATAGTAATATAAGTAAAAAAAGGTTATCTTATTACCTAATAGTACCTTTACTACTATATATAATATCTAGTAGGTATAAACTCTAGGTGTTAGTAATATAGATAGTCTAGATAAATCTAGTGCATCTGAATTATCTAGTGAGGCTAAAATTTGTATATAGGTAGGCAGCAGAGGTGGTGAAATAAGTGGTGATAGTGGTGATGATGATGATGATAGGGTTTTGCGGAAGTAGGGGTTTTGCGGTAGTGGGGTATTTGAGTTACCTTTATATACCTGTTTAGTTAGTATTAGTTATTATTTTAAATAGGAAGTAAAAAACAGATAACAGATGAAACAGAGAAAAGTCAGAATTAGACACAACAGCGCAGAACTCCTATTTTAAAAAGCAATAAAGAAGTATAAAATATATAAACACAATAAACAACCTGACAACAAGAACAACACGAGAGAAGAAACAACCGAGGACCCCGAAGAGCAAAGAACAAGCCACGAAACAAAAGAGAACACACTAAACATTGCAAAACCAGAAACACAAACGCTCCAATAGCAGATACAACAAAAGACAGTTCATCTTGTCAACATAGTAGCCCCTTAACGTCTACGTGTTCAAGCCCACATCTCGTCGTCCTCGGAGTCCAGGTAGTCTTCAAATGTCTGGCCGACGCGGGGTTCATTGTTAGGCTCGGCAATGCCCTCGTCCCGGATGGCTGCGGCGTCCAGAATACCGGCGCGCGCGCGCCACGCGATATCCCGGCGGTCGGCCAGCGGCATGTGCCTTGTAAAAGCTCCCTGCCTGAGCTGGGACATGGTGCTTCTATAAATACTCTCCGCGATTCTCTCTATCTCCTCCTGTTGGTCGGCGGCCGGTGATCTGGGGCGGCGAGGGCGGCGGGGGCGGCTGGCGGGCGCGGGTGCAGGCGAGGAAGACGTATCGGAGTCAGAGACAGGTTCGGGCTCGGGCTCGGACTCGGGCTCGGACTCGGACTCGGAGGAGACGGTGGTGGCGGTGCGGCGGCGTTGGCGGGGCGGGGCGTCAGACTCAGAGTCGGACTCAGGCCTGGGGCGGGACATCAGAGGGCTGGTCTGGGGGAGCGCAGGCTCATCGTCGTTGGGGCCGTCAGCATCATAGCCGAAGAAGTTGTCGTTGTCCTGATTGCCGCTATGCATAATAAAAGCCTCGTCGTAGTGGCGGCTGCCTTCGGTCTCTTCTGGCTGTTCTTCTTCTTCTTCCTCTTCCTGCTGCTGACGCAGCTGCTCCTCGGCATCCTGAACCAGCCGCAGCATCTCGGCTTCTTCCTCAGCCTCCTCCAACTCTGCCTCGTGCAAGGCCAGCATGCGCTGGGCGGCGTCGTCGTCGGGGTCCAGGAGCTCCATCTCGGCCCAGTCCCGTTCTTCGGCAGCTTGGGCGCCCAGGCGCTGGAGCCTCGCAGCCTCGGCGTCGGCAGCTTGGAGCTCGGCCTCGAGGAGCTTAGCGGCCTGGACAGCCACAGTCTTGGTGAGGTTGGAGGCACCAGAGGTGACCAGGGTACGCAGCAGCAGCCCGGCATTCTCTGGGTCTCTCGGAGACCCGGCCCAGAGGGCAGCGAGGTCGTCGGCGGTGGCGCCGGGGCGGGAGAGCACCTTGTCGGTAATCCAAGCCATTTTACGAATAATGAGGGGGGCAATCGGGGGCCTGGGAGCATAAGCGGCGGGGACCCAGGGGTGCGGTCCCCAGCGGTCCTGAAGCGTCGCATTGGCGCGCTCTGCTCTGATGTCCTTGGCGGCGACGTCGGGGTTCTCACGGAGCTGTGCGTGCAGGTGCCGGCCGTGGCCTTCGACAGAGGCATATAGAGAGGCTATGGCACGAGAGGCGGCCTGTGGGCGGGTTGCGGCGGCTGGCGCGAAGACATCATTCATAAAGGTAGACACAACATTGCTGGAGGGGGCTGCGTTGTAGGGATAGGAGTCTATAAAGTTCTATATAGTTGTTAACATTAGTATTATAAGCTATCTATCTATATATAACACGATACAACAGCGGAGAGCTATCAAGTTGATTTGTATTGATAGATTGGTGGTGTTTTGCTTTGCCAGGTAATGGGAGCGGAGCAGATGACGCAGAATCACATACCAGTCGTTCTTGGTTTGCGCCGGACTGGTTGCCGTTGTTGTTGTTGTTGTCGGCCATGGCGAAGTGAGGCAAGGCGAGGTAAGGTAAAGTAAAACAAACTGGACACAGACTAACAACAGACAAGACGAAACTCGACAATAGCAGTTGATGATGACTTCAGAAGGGAAGAGGAGAAAGAAGAGCAACGACTCGCAAGACAGACACGACGTCATGGTAGCATGGTATGGTATGGTATGGTATGGTATGGGCGGGCAGGCAGGCACACAGCCTCTGCTCTCCTTCCACGTCCATCTACACCTGCCATTGCACTTTCCGTACATATCCCTTCCCATCAAACAGGCTACAACCCCCACCAGCCCTACTCACAAGCACTTACTCGCTCGATGGTGTCCTTAGAGGCAGGAGGTGTCATTTAATAACCGGACTCGGACTGCAACAAGACACGCAAGAAACCGTCGAGTCATCAAGATTATGTCTGTTTGTCTGTTTGTCTACCTATGTTCTATCTATCTTGCCGAGAAACTGTAGTCACATCCCGGCCAAGCGTTTGATACTTTTCAGTTCCTGTTGCACACCTTGTCTCTTTGATGTTCCCTGCAGCCCTTCCCGTCCCCGTTCAGCCAGATTTCTAAGTATAACTATCAACTTCCCTCCGCCTTGCCGGTGATAAAAGCTATCCCCACCTATCTAGGTACCCTACCCTCTTCAGACACCGCAGCCACTGCTTCTGCAAGACCCCATTGCAATAACTCCGCTGCAAACAGTGCCGGCTCAGGCTCCAGAACTAGTTCGTCGTCTTCCCAGTCTTTAATCCGCTGCGCCCAGTCAAAAGCGGCCTTGTTGTCGAGTGTCCAGCGAGGCCTTGGGCCCTCTTGAATCCTTTTCCTCTCCTCGGACACTCGCTGTGCTATTCGACTGCCGTCTGTTGTATGAACCAGCGCCCCTAGCCTGATGAGACCAGGAACCATCTGCGCAGCCCAGCTTTCACCCCCCTCCTTGGGCCCCTCGGAGAGACAAGCGTAGTGAAGACTCCAATACCCAAACTCGTCTGGCCAGTCGTGGACCGGTCCATTACGTGCAACTGTACCAGCCCACAGACCATGGCACTGGTCGATGGTCCACTCAATCATTTCTGTCATGCGACCCGCAGCCATCATGTGAAGCCCCGTGAGACCCCCGCAGCTACTATGCGGCCGATCCCATACAGCTCCCTTGCGAATCAGAAGTTTGGCAGTCGACTCGTTGCCGTGTGCAAGCGATAGATGTAGCGGCGTTGGCTCAATGCCCCATCCGGACCATATGCCTGTCACACGAATGGCATTCATGTAAGGCGATGGGCAGAGGCAGCCCAGCAGTGCACTAGCTTCAATTGATACTCGGCGTCCGAGGAGCCAGCGGGTCATGTCTTGGTCCCCTCGCATCGCGGCTACATGGAGAAGCGTGGCGAACGGTCGGCGATCTTCCCAGTCGTCGTCGTCGTCGTCGTCGTGTATCGGGCAAAGCCCTGGGACGTAGAATGCAGCCGACAAGGCTTGGGCGGTATCTAGCGGTTGAAGTGTGTGTGGGACATAGCCGGCGAGGCGCGACAAAAGGGCAAGGTCGCCCGACAGCGCAGCGGTCATGAGCACGCCTACTCGGTTGTCAGGTAGTTGCCTGTCATTGTCAGAATCGTGCAAGCGAGATTAAAGAGGGAGAGAGGGACAATAGTATAGCCGGTTACTCACTGTGGCATTGGGGGTCCAAAAAGCCGTCGGTGGTCTGCAATGCTCATAGCCGCCCGGATGGTGTAGGAGAAGCCCCTAGCGGCGTCAGCAACAAAGTTGATTGGGGTTAGGGGGAACAGACATCCATTCCCTGCCTGGGCAGAGCATGTACCAGTCCCAAAGGATAGCATGTTTATAGAGAAGGGGGTTCGCAATCTCATGCCACATGTGCGAGACCAGGGCCAGCTGGGCTAAGCTCCGTAAGTCAAGGCGGGTCGGGGTGTCAGGGATAGTGAGTGCATCGGCTACACCGCAAAGTATCTCGGCAGGGAAGCGAGAGAGACAACCCATCGTGGTGCCTTGGAAATTCCAACTTGGAGTTCTGCAGGATTTGGTTTGCGTTGAGGGTTGTTTTGTTTTTCGTAGTGATCGCCTTGGCAAAGAGTTTGGTTGTTGTTGTTGTTGCGAGTAGGGAGAAAAGAAAAAAAGGGCATGACTTGCAGAATGAATGCGTTCAATTGAAAGAAAGCCTCAATGACAGCGGCACGGCCCGACCAGCGGGGCAGGGACACATGGTGATGTACAGGCAGGCATCTACAGTACATGGGTACTGGCTGGGTACATCAAGACTCTCACTGGCTAAATTTGTGCTGGATGTGCACAAAAACCCATGTACCTACCTCGTGACATAATCAAGGACGCACGGCCACATTTAGTGTAGTGTACGGGCCTCCGGGCTTCTTTGGCCTGATTGCACTTTCCTTTCCAGCTGCTGCTCGGTGGACGGCTCCACTATCAGACATTTGGCGTGTTCAAGAGTGGAGACGGTTCGGCTGGCCGTCCAATCAGACACTACAAACACGCTTGCGCCGCCCACAGCTTCTTTCCAGTATCGAACATGTCCAATCGCTTTCTGAAAGACTTGGGATCCGCAGCATCCGCGTTTCTACCTCTGGCGTTATCAAAGTCGGTGAGAGCACTTGCCTGAATAACGTGTGATGTGCAAATGCGGCCCGACTGACCACTAAGAGCCTGACCTTGCGACTAGCTCAATGCCTGGCCAGTATTGGCCCGATCGGGAACTGCCTCGGTATTGTCTCACGAGACAGTCGCAGCCTTCTTACAGCAAATCGTGCATCGACTGGGGTAAACGCACTTCTATGGTCGATCAATTCACTCGAGTTCCTGAGATTCTTGAAGGCGGGTTCTGTCAGAGGTCAGCTGGTCCGAGTGATGAAGTCAACGATAGGGCCACTTAACGGAAGGTAGGTATAGTGTTGTAACAGCATTCAAATCTAACCCCTTAACTATCGCAAGCTGGAAGGGTTTTATCCCTTATGGGCTGACTAATAGGGGCCCACTGGCTCTAACCCGTGACCTCCGCTAGGCACCTGACAGGTTCGACCTTGAGACAGCCTTTCGAGTCATCCGACGTTTTGGTGGCCGATCCGAATTTTTTCTTCATCTCAACAGCCTGCCTGCTCGAACACGAAGAGACGTCCCCCCACTTGCAATGTTGCATGCCAGGTCCCAGGCTTCAAATGCTATGTCGGACGGATTAGTTGCTATGGTTGTATATGGCGGCGGCGGTGGTGGCGGTACAGGAGACTCAACGGCGTCTTTACTCATCATGCCGTTTAACTAGGGGATTTGGTCAGAGGACAATCGAGATGACGGGGCTCTGAAATAGAACAGTGGGAGAGACGCCCATCATTCATATAGCGGGAAACACCCATTTTTGTAATACTGGTTAGTGCTTTGACTGCAACGGGGCGAGACCAGCATTTCCCTCTGTGGCCGGTCTCATGACGTCGGCATTGGCAACTGATAAAAGGGGTTTGGCCGACCGACGGTTCTGTTGGTGATTTGGCCATTCGACGAAGGCTAAGATATCGAAAATGCAACATGGACAAGGCGTATTCCGAGTTACAGACACAACTCACTGGCGTATCGCTTGGCTTTGAGGGCGGCGCTTCTGAGAATATCGAAATCGGTTAGTCCATGCTTCCACGTATGCAGCCTACCTTGCTGGCGTTGCTGTAACTGCTCGTATTCCCATCTGTCCCCCTGTCTGCCACGGAACAGACAAAATAAACTAGCTTGTTTTCAGTGGCGGAGTTTGCCCGACAATGCCCGTTCTGACGGAACGACTGGCAACTAGGCGATTGGAGTCTGAGACGGTAGAGTCATAAAATAAAAGTCGCTCTATGCAAAGTTACCCCTACAGAGTCGTCTGTCTATACCCTGGTCTTTCATGAGCCCGCCAGATGACCGACTCTATGACATTATGGGTCACTGAACTGCTATGTCTTGGTTTGGTGACTTGGTTTAGAGGCCGACATTACCACTAGTTACGTCACCGATGATAGAATAACAGAACAGCCTTACGTTATTACAATCAGGTTGCAAATCCTTACAAAAGACTTAGTAAACATAATGCTCTAGGATTTTGTCGCAATGCCCTCACAACATTATATAGCCTTGTAAATATCTAACTAGAGCTAGGACATCTATTAATCTAGTATCTACTGCCCTAATCTACTATTAAGACACGTATATCTATAAACTAGATTAGGTAGTCTAGAGTGTAGATAGTTAAGCTGTTTTCCTATAACTTTCTGTGATTAACTAAGTGTATTGTGACAGGTTCTTAATCTGAGCTCTCTAGGCAGATCCGGTGCATCTGTTTCCTGAAGGACATTATTAGAGCAAGTTTGTTGATACTTTGTCTGTAAGCCACTGACAATAACAGGCCCAACATGCTAGCGGCTTGATGCACTACATTTGTTGACAGATCTAACCAATCTCGCAAGCAAAAGATCTTCATGCCTTGAACCGTCGAGAGAAGAGGACGAACTTTTAATGCTAAACAGCCATGACAGTCTTGACACATCAGAAGTTACATATTAGTTGTTGTTCCTAGCACCCGACGTAACGATAGGGCTTACCATTGCCACAACATTGTAAGTTCTTTAACCACTCGATCAGCTAATCGTTCTCAGGCCGAGATCGACCAGCAGTAGCTCCATGTCAATGTCTCCATGAATGACAAGGAAGATGATGGGTTTTCACTAAGCAGTCATTTACTTTTGGTTTAGCTACCATTTGTACGACGGCAGTCGAGACGTCTGACCACCACTGCGCCGAGGACGACCTTGAGGATGTTACCGTTCTCCCAGGTGACGGTTTCAACCATATCGCGAAGATCGCCGTCAATCCTACCGACAAGATCTTCATCGAGCCACCGAAGCGCCTCACGCTCGCCGGGCTCGTTTTGGAAGAAGTGCACGCCCACCTAGTGCATGGGTGCGGTAAGCTTATCGAGCGTCTTAGCCGCAGTAATGATAGTCAACTCGACATTGTCCGAGGGCGCGTCGTCGGTGATGAGGATAATATTGATCGGCTTGACGCTCTCGACATCGTGATTCTTGCTTTCTAGGAGCTGAAGGTAAGACCGGAGGATGACATAGAGGCGCTGACCGGTGGGTGTGGTGCCACGGGGACGGATTGTGGTGAAGATTTCGTCGACCTTCTCAGCACGCTAGATGCCGTAGCAGCCGTTGACAGCCTTGCCCACCCTGGCGTTGCCGCTGTTCAATGTCTTATTATTAAGGAAAATCAATCCAATGCCGTCGTCTTCATGTGCCATACCACGTGATAGTCCATCAGACAACTATGTTCATGAGTATCAGCCTTCAACTGTTTCTTTCTTGTATCTAAGTAATTATATACCTTGTTATCCTATGCCTAGCTGTGACAGATATCAATTTTCTTAATCATCCGCATGAGCATTTTATGGGGCGGACGAGGTCGAGCTTTCGGTGGTTCCATTCGATCTCGCCGCGATGAGGCGATGGTGTACTGATCTTGATGGGCTAAATTCCTTGGGACAGGTAAGCATTTGACGCAGTCTTAAAGTCCATGCCGTGATACCTTGTTCTTATGGCAAGCGCCTCTTGCCACTACTCTGCAAACTGCGATTTGTCCGATATCGTAAGGTGTGGCAGACTGCTGTGTGCGTTGGTTACAGCGGGAAGGGCGGCTCCCTCTTTCATGAGGCAGTCTGCTTCCTCGTTCCCCTCGATCCCGTGGTAGCGAGGGATCCTCCGGCCTGCGACCTCTATCATCGTTTCTAGTTCATAAACTATAGAACGTCTCCAGCACGTCAAGCATGAAGCCCATACAGCCTTTAATGAGATCTTCAACGACCCGCTCATCTGATAAGGGCAGCCCAAGAATGGCGCATCCCAACGAGGTGCATCCTAACGACCACGTTCCACCGTCGCATCCATGGCATCCAACCTAAGCAAGTTGTCCTCAGTAATTACAGAGAAAACAAAGATGTTAGTCAAGAAAGGTTCGAAATGAGAGTAAAGGCTTAGTTGAAGCCAGCTCACTCAATGATTACGTACAAGTGGTTGACAAAGGTTGCGATCCGGATAATTTATTCAGTCTCAACGCCCATCAAATAGGTCAACCTTGTTTGAGTTGGTCAGAATCACTCCCGTGGCGGGCTCTAGGTTAGACCACTTTGGTTGCTGCTACTTGTTATGTTTCTCATAAACTGCATCTAATCAGACATACACCCCTCGTCAAACACCTCAGTTTCAGGATCCTCTATGGATAACTACAGGGTACAGTTCCTCAATTCTGACTCCAGCTAAATATCTAGTGGGTCAGCGATATCCCGCCTATTTCAACACTAAAGCCAGGTCAACGTTAATCTATCTTTTCTCCACCCTCTATCTTCCAGAATCATTACCAGCGTATCCCTAATTATAGTGCTCGTCTCATCATACAAATTAACCTTAAAGACAAATAACTTTCGGCAATATACTAGGGATCCAAGAAGCTCACTGTAACCTGAATATCCTTTGCCGCATGGTACAACAGGGCTACGTAGCCCGTGATAGCCAACATCAACAAAGTACAGTTTCATCTCACTACATCCACATTATCTTGAGGTAGAACTATCACCTGATCAATGTGCGAGGCAGCATGTCCATCGGCTTACCCAGCCTGATCATGAGGTAGGGTTTCCACAAATCCAACTCGCTGATTTCGTGAGCACCCCAGGCCAATTGACCAGACCACCCAGGAACCCCTGACATAAATAGGATCAAGCTAAGGTACAAGCTCCAAATACAAACTAATAATAGGTTTTGTTGGTTTATTTATTACAAGATTACAGCTGTGTGATTAGTCCTCGAAGAGGAAATAGCCACCATGGTGTGATAGTGTGATGGTGACAAACTAACAGTAAGGACGGCAAGGAGTGACCAACGCATTCCAACTGGGGTAGATTAGCATAGTAACCCAACACCTACAGGGTTCCGTGTTAGCCGTTTCCCATATTGCTCTAAGGCTTCTCTTCCTCTGACATAGTGCACCTCTTCCAGGAGACCAGTCTATCCAGGCTACTAGGAGTCAGACTTCAGCATATGTTCTAGCTAGAACACTTGCCCTCCAAAGAGAACTAAAGCAACAGGGACAGATAGAATGCATGAAGGTCCAAGTTCTATTCGCTAATAACCTTATTATTCGAAAGTCTATGCCAGCACATTAAGCGACTTGCCTACTAAACTCTAAGAAAGTGTCATCGTGGTCGCACTGCTAACATGATCATCTCAGTGTATAAAAATGTATTATATCACCTCAATGAAGCTGAGCATGTAAGGACCATAGAATATTTTGATAATAGATCTTCTTGATCTCCAGATCTCTCTATTGTCTAGTCAATGTTCTTAATAACAAAATGTATTCCTCCGAAGAAGCGACGCTTAACTCACAAGCCCTGATACTATGTTACGAGCAAGCTAGACTCGGGATTGTTTCCATAATTCCTGGATAAAGCGTCAATCCTACCTGGACTTGGAGATATAGTCGCTAATTTCTGTATCTCTTTGGGGTCTCACAAGACGCCCATATCGACTTCTCCGTCTTGGTTTGCTAGCGTCGGCAGAGCTCACCTTTGATATCACGGCTGAGCGTTACTTCTCGTCGCCTGATCGCGTCAAAGAAGTACCAGCTTTCCCAAGTCTTGAAGTGGAGTAGCTTAGATGGTCTAGTCTTGTAGATGTAGTCAAAGTATTATCAATTGTAACGCCAAACAACTAAACAAACAACATAGGGGTCATCTGTCAATATTCATCCAAAGCATTCCGACACACAGGAATATACATACCTCCAACAATGTTATCATGTACATACCTACGGCACAGCTCGCAAAGGTAGAAGCATCAGGTCCAATACCATTCCGATCTTTGTCACCCCACTAACCCCCTGACGCCTGCCGCAGACAACATCATGTACATCGTTCATAGCTACAATATAAGCACAACGAGAGTCCCAAGTAAGATTCTTGAGCCGGTGCAGCTCAGCAAAGCTAGCATCATTAGGCTGGGCTTGTGGTAGGAATATGTGGTCTGCGTGGGCCTCCAGCAGCGTGCGGAGAAGGAGGTTTCGTTCGGAGAAGGTGGTAGTGGTAAGCTGGGCGAGAAGTCGTTGCCGTGTGTCGCCTTGGGCAGCAGTGTACGTTTGCACGTTGTCAAGGGACTTGTGGAGTCGGTTCGTCGTTTCGGACAGCCGTCTCGCCAAGGTGCCGGAAGGTATGATGGTGTTGTTGGGTGACGAGGATGGGGGGGGTCCGTGTTGATGGCGCCGCGATGGATGTCGAGCTTGTTGATGTCGCACAACGGCTTGCTCAACTTGCTGCTCCCCGCCGCCGCAGTCATCCCCGTCAACGTGAAGCCTCGCGTTCTCGTCTCCCCACCAGCGCTCGTGTGCCCAGGCAGCCCTTACGTGGTCAGGCCAGTCGAGAACCGTCATGCCGGCTTCGTCGTCGAAGAGCTTTGTCAGAACGCCCGCCTTGAGGTTCTTGTTGAGCGTGTATGTCATGCTCGACACCATCTTGCGCCGGATCGCAGTCCACTCTTGTTCGCTGAGCGACGCCAGGTCGATGTTGAGCTTGGAGGCAAGGTTGACGAGGTCGGGGTCGTCACCCTGTGGGCGATGTGGGTGAAGAGAGGCCGTCTTGGCCATGCCGGAAAGCATCGGTACCGTCAAACGGTAGAAAGCCATGAAGGATTTCATGATGATAAGGTCGGACGGACGCCATGTCACCTTGCTCTGGCTGCCTCCCGTTATCAGGATCTCGCCGAGAGTGCAGCCGCGGAAGACGTAAGACGATCGGTTCTGGAACGTTGCAAGACCATCAGTCAGTCAATCAGTCAATCAGTCAATCAGTCAATCAGTCAATCAGTCAATCAGTCAATCATTCAATCATTCAATCATTCAATCATTCAATCATTCAATCATTCAATCATTCAATCATTCAAGCATTCAATCATTCAATCATTCAATCATTCAATCATTCAATCCAATCATTCAATCATTCAATCATTCAATCATTCAATCATTCAATCATTCAATCATTCAATCATTCAATCATTCAATCATTCAATCATTCAATCATTCAATCATTCAATCATTCAATCATTCAATCATTCAATCATTCAATCATTCAATCATTCAATCATTCAGAGGAAGGGGGGGGTCGTTACCGATGCTTTACCGTTCGCCGGCGGCGACGGCTCACGCGGGGTCACTGGCCAAGACATTGAGGACGACCAAGACGACGACATTGGTTAGTGTCGAGGTTTCGAACAGGAAGGCGCAGGAGATGGCAGTTTCGCCAGGGCGACCGGGTGGTGCGTGAGGAAACCGGAAATTGTGCTTCTCCATCGGGCCCGTTTGCAACAACAACAACAACAACAGCAACAACAGCAACAACAACAACCCCCTTCCAATAGCATCCTTTTCCTTCTTCCAACTCGCCACTTCTGCTCTCTCCCCGCCCCCCATCCTTTTTCCTTCTCCATCTCCTTCATTGCAAATCGTCTATTTTTCGGCACCCGACTTGGAAGTCCTCCAGACAACACACCATCGTTTCGCCTGTTCGTTCAACCACCAATAATGTCTAGCGAGGAATTCAAACCCTTTTTCAACAACCTTATTTTAGACGGCGTTCCCTATACCCAGGCTCTTTTTGAGGCGTCCCTCGCGACACGATACTATAATGAAATCCCGCCAGAGCTATTCAGCCGTTTCAACACATACCTCATTGACAGAGCCAACAGAGAAAGCACCCACGCCAGCCCTGGCCAGATCAGCAGCAATAGCGGTGGCCCTCCCCTCAGCCCTTTTAGGTCCAGAGTAAGCAGCGTTTGCTCCCCCCGCACGCCATCCGGTTCTCAGGCCCTGTCTCTGGACCTCAGTGACATGAGCTGCCTTCCGTCGCACCAAAGCCAGGTTAACCAGGAGCTACTCCACCGCAAGGCCACGGATCACTGGACCAAGTACGTAGCCTGGAAGCGGGAGAAGGAAAAGCAGCCAAAGTCACGGCCAGAGAATCTACGCCAGGGTGAGGCGGCGGCGGCAGCGGCTTCTGCTGCGCTTAGGAGACACACGATGCCTCTATCGTCGTTTGAGACACCTTACCGTCCACGTACGTCCCTTGATCCCTAGTTCCTTGTTGTCACTACCACTGTGTTGCTTGATGTTAGCGTGGGCATGTGCTTAGGGAACCGTAACTGACAATACATACAACTTCTTGTTCTGACACAGGATTAGGAGTAGACCTATCAACGTCGCCAGCGCCACCGTCACCGCCGTCACCGCGGCCGCAGCTGTCACAAGCATGGAACCCTGTACCCATGAGACCGTTTGCTGTCCCGACGGCCGCGACCCGTTTGTACATGACACCTCCTCGACCGCCACCCGGCAGCAGACATAAGGATCTGGTATGCGAGTTCGAGGCCGAAATGAAGCAGTACCAAGACGACTGGGAGAAGTTCAAGGAGGCTGAAGAGGAGGCGAACCACCGCAGGGTGGCTCTAGGGAAGAGGAACCTCCGCCTCATTGAGCTCCTCGTTAGCATTGAGGCGCTCCCTGAAGGTCATACAGACTAAATAGCGGGCGGTTAGACGCGGAGGAGGAGCAAGGATACGGTAAAACGCCACAAGCCACCACTGACTTCGAGGGCCCAGTGCTGCCGCAGTCCTCATCCCTGCCCTTTGCCGCTGCTTCTTCTTGCCCTACTGCCAACACAAGCAAAGCCAGTGAAACAAGTAAAGCAGGTGAAAGTGGCCAAGAACAGTGGGTTTTCCACGGCTACCAGCCCGATGGCACGAAGAAGCCTAGAAAACGTGGCCAGGGAGGATCCAAGAGCGGAGGTGATCAGCGCAGGGGTGGTTGAGGAAATGTTCTAACCTGGTTTGTGTGTAAATCTTTGGTTTAGTAGAGAAATAAGTCGCAGGTCTGTGTTGCTACAGTCGAGATACGTAGACAGGGAAACGTGGGATCGCATTCGTCCCAGGTAATAATGCATGCTTAAGACTTTTGTTGCACGATTGAAGGCATCTCTTCCCTACCACCAGCGTCGTGATCCATCTATCCGCTGGTCTTCTGCCTGCCTGCCTGGTCTCTTGCCCGCCACGTCAGCTCTTCCAGTAGGATCCTGTAATAGAGAATGTCCAAGTGTGAGTATACGCGTCCAAAGACCTCTGTAGCTCAAGCTCTGGCGGTGGGAATAATCCTGCAGCAGCACCTACTTTTGCTAACAATGGGGTCTAGATGGTTGAGCATGAGCAATGAAAAGGATAAAACAATAGTGACGCGTTACGAAGAGAAGGTTAACGTTGTAGGCGTGCTCTTCGGAGTGCTCTGTGAAGTGCTCTCTGGAGGTGCCAAGGATGGGCGTTGAACTGCGGGACATAGACGGCAAGGATTACAGCTTGTAGGACAGACAAAGAAATAACAAGACAATAAGACAAGGAGGTAGAGTATTACATTAGTGCTTAGAACTACACACTGGAGCACTATAAGAGTATACCACATAACTTAGGCTACTACTAATAGAAAAATAAACTATAACTATAGATTGTTTTAGTATAAAAGTATAAGTAATATTATATACTAATATATAACGTATATATATAGTAAGTTAAATAATATAGTAAGCTAGACACTTTTTATTTCTTTTATATACTTCTCTTATATATTAAGTTTTCTTTATATATAATAATGAATTCTTCTTTAAATAAAAGCTATATTATCTTTATACTTATAGCTATTAAACAAGACTAAAAGTTATTTATATAAAAAGCTATCTTTATCTATAATATCCCTAATTTAATACTTTATAACTAAGTTATTAGATAAATACTATAATATAAAGCTTATATAAATTTAATGAAGATAATATCTCTAGAAGAAAAGGTAATTTATAAAAAGATTATTAACCTAATTAATTAAGGATTTTTACTTTAGCTTAGAGACATATAAGATATAGCTAATTACTTTATTAATATATATAATGTAATATATATAAGACTATATTAAGTAAAGAACTTTATATAATACTAAGTAGACCTTAATATATAATTCTAATATTAGATTATATAAAGGGCTAGTACTACCTTTTAATAGATATATAGTAACTTAATATAATTAATCTAGACTAAGGAAAAAAGATTATTTATAGTAGTATATATATTATATATATAATATTAAATAAGAGCACTAACTAGGCGTTAACTAAGTATACTTACTTTACTAGCCCTTATATATTATAGTAAGCAAAGGCTTAGTACACTTACTATAGCTATAGCCTATAATAAATTATTTATTAGAGAGCATTAGCCAAAGGTCTTATAATTATTTAAGGCTAGTTTACACTTAAATAAAATATAATTATAAAGTATAAGAAAAAGATTTATAATATTTATAATTTTAATAAGACTAGGTTCTAAATAGAAATACTATTATATTAAAGGTTACTATAACTTCTAATTAGATAGAAAGGCTTTACATAAAGTAGCCTAGTAATTAAGAATAGATTTTTATTATTTAAGGTATATATACTAATTACTAAGTAATATCTTTATATACTATTATTAGAAGTAAATATTACCTTTTAATATAGTATTTTAATAATATAACTTTAGCTATATAGTATATTTACTTAAGTAAAATAAATAAAGTATAAATAAAATTAGCCTAGATTAGCTATAAATACTTTAATTAGTATATAAAGTCTTATATAAAAGATACTTATTACTTTCTAGTCCTAAATAGCTATAATAAATATAAGATAACTAAATTTAATAACTATTAAAAAAAGATTTATTACTTAATATATACTTTCTTGTTTATTATTTAAACTTTAGTTTTTTAATATTAGTTATTATAGTTTCTAAAGATACTTATATAGTAAAAAACTTAAAAAGATAATATAAATATAAATTATATATATTACTAAAGATAATATACTATATAAGTAACTAGGTTATATAAGTAACTAGGTTACTTTTTACTACTTATATATATACTACCTTTATTCCCCCTTTTCTTTACTAATAACTATAGTATAGAATCTAAACAGAAGTATTTTAGTTCTATTACTTAATACACTTAAAGTAAACCTAAAGTTAAGTATAGAAAAGGCTACATTAATCTATAATATATCTTATATAACCCTCTAATAATAATACTTTAGTTAACTTATAAAGTATAGTATTTAACTACATTACTAGAATTTAACCTTGTATATAAAGAATTATTGTAATATTAAATATTATAGATAAATATTAAAGTTATTATGTTAACCTTAATAACTTATTACTAGTAAATTCTTAGATAATTAGCTATAGATTCTCTAAGAATTTATAGGTAATAAGTTAGTTATTTAACTAGCTAACCTATAATAATTATCCTTCTTTTCTTTATATATAATAGAGAACTATAGTTACCTTAATTATTTAGTAATTACTACTAATATATAAAGTTAACTATACTAACTTATTCTTTAGTATTACTAACACTAATTAGTAGTTAACTTTACTATTAACTATAAAGGTTAACTTTACTATTTAAACTATAGATTAGTAAGGTCTATAAGAAGAGGTAATTATTACTAGTTAATTATTTATATACCTAGAGTAGGCAAGGACTAGAAACTGCCTCTATAAATACCTTTACTATAATATTACACTAATTACCTATTATAATAGGTTAATTAATAAATTTATAACTAGTCTCTTTAACTAGCAGAAACCTTATAATTTATATTTATTATATAAGCTTTATTACCTTTAAAGAAGTACTTTTAACTATAAAAAACCTCTTACTTTATATACTTATAGCTAACTAGTAATTATTTACTATATCCTATTTATTATAAGCTTTTTAGCTTACTAACCTCTTTTTTTTATATATACTTCTTTAATTAACTAATAGTATTAATAAGTTACTAATATAATAGCGTATTATTTTTCCCTAAGTTATTTACTTATAAGAGTATATTTTTCTTTAACTATCTATACTACTAGTAGTAATCCTTCTAATAAATATATATACCTTTTAGTCTACTAAAAAAAACACTTATATTTAAGAGGTTATTAGGCTAATAAAGTATAATAGTAAATAATAAAGTGCCCTTAAGAAGAAACCTAAGTTAAAATAAGTAACTATAATAAGCTTATAAGTAAGTAAGGCTTATAAGTTACTATACTTTTACTTATAAGGTAATAAAAGAAAGAAATTTAAAGTAAATATAATATACTACCTAATATAGTAAAGAAGATAGTAGTAATAAATAATATTATTACTATACTTTTTACTTTTATATAGTATATTCTTTATACTAATAAAAAAAGATTATATTATAAGGTTATTAATTAACCTTATAAAGAAGTAATAGTCCTTTATACTTAATACTATTACTATATTTTACTTTAGTAAATCTAAGTATAATAACTACTTTAGTAGTAAATTACTTTACTATATATAAGAAGACCTTACTAACTAGGCTATTAGTAACTTTAAAGCTATTAACCTAAAGGTCTTAATAGGTCTATATAACTTTATTACTAACTATAGAGTATAGGTTAACTATAGTAAGTACTTATTAATTACTTAATATATTTAATACTCTTTAAAAAAAAAGAAAGTACCTACTAGACTAATAAAATAATTACTATTATTAAAAGATTATTATATAACTTTAGAACACCTTAAAGACTTTAACTTTATTAAAGATATTAAGGGCTATAAAATAATTATATATAAAGTAAAAATAGTTAAAGTATATATATTACTAGTAACTACTTACTAGACCTCTTATAATAACTTAACTTTTACTTTACTACTACTTATATTAACACTAAAACCTTATATAATAGCTAAAATTAATAGCCTATATAAAATAACTATTATACTACTATAGAAGCTTTTATTAACTATAGTAATATTAATAGTAATATTAAGATTAATACTAAAGTAAATAAGTAACCTTAGAAAGATATACTTTAATAACTAAGCTATAAAATATACTAGTAGCTAGTATAAGACTATTAACTTAAAATTACTATTTATTATAAGACAAGTGTATTATATAGTAGATAGATAGGTAAAACATAGGATAACCCTGTTAGTATATATCTAGGTATATACCTAGGGGGTATATATCCTATTACCTATTACCTCTTGTTAAGAGGAGGCAACCTTAATAGACTATTTACACTTATACCTAGCTTTTATTCTATATTAATTATTTAGCTCCTTATTTATTATTTATCTTATTTTACTACTCTACTACTATACTTTACCTTTATACTATATTACTTTATATTATCTATTATAGCTTTACTTTTTTTATTATATTAATAATAGCTAGTAAAAAGGCTATATTAAGTAGTAGTATAACTACCTTAATCTATACCTTTAAAACTTTTTTTTACTAGAATATAGTAAAAATACCTTTTTACTTTAATAAGAATTAGCTTATAGAAATAGTATACTATAGCTAGTATAACTAGGCTAAATTACTAATATATAGTAACTATATATATAGGTTTAGCTAAATCTAAATTATAAGGTTACTTATTCTTTATTATAAAGCCTCTATAATAATATATATACCTTTATATTTATAAAATTTAATAGTAATAGGCCTTTTTATAGAATAATAAATTAATAAAAAAAGGTTTAAATTAGATAGTAGTAGTATAGCTAGTTTATTTTAAATAAGATTAAATATCTAGATAATAAAGTAAATTATTAAGAATATAAAAAAATATTTAGACCTATATATATAGCTTTATATAAAAGCTATAGATATTTTATTATTTTATATTAACTTATAAACCTCTTAGTTATTAAGAAACCTAGTTACACTAAAAAGATATATAACTAAGTAGGTTTTAGATACCTTTTAAAAACTTTCTTCTTAATAAACTAACTTAAATAAAAATATTATAATAAGTAAAGCCTTTACCTAAAATAAGAATATTTTACTAGATAGTATATTACTAAAGTA